AGACGGCTACACGGATCTACAACATGTCCATAAAGAACCTGGACACGAGCCCCTAAAAGCCTGCAAGACCCCTTCCAAACCTGAACGCAAGCCCGAGTCCTGCAGCGCAGCAAACAACAAATACACGGGTGCTGAAACATGTGCATTTGCCCCCCCCAAAAAGTGTCGTTTCCTTGGCTTTCCGTGTCCTGGTTTACTCCAGATTTCGTAGAAAAGGGAGGGGGGTCTCATTTCGGGGGGTGGTCTCTTCCAGGCTATCTTGGAAGGCCCCCGGGGTTCGGGGACGATGTATTGGAGGGTTCTCCCACGGGGGAGGTCTGAAATGGTTTGTCTTGGAGGGTCCTTACCCCCTCCCTTTTTATTACAAAATTTGGAGTAATCTGCTCAGACCCCCCTCTCATAGCGGACTCTAGCGCGCGCCGCCCCCCTCCAGAGGCCACGATCCATCGCTTACAAATCGATGAGTCCGCGCCCACGAAGCTACGAACCCTTGTGAAAAAAAACGATGGTTATGAGCTCCCGAATTTCCAAGACGGTCGAAGCAGGCCACCGGGGTAACCCAAATGGTCAAAGATGCCTCCAAGTCAGCTCAAGATTACCCCCGACCTATCCAGAATGGCCTCAATGCTGCCCATGAGGGCCCCAGGACGGCCCAAGAGTGCCGCAAGAGAACCCCCAGTAAGGCCCGTCCTCTGCTGTTTCAAACACTTAGAGCGTGTTTTTTAATGTTCGGCGATGACGGGCGTCAGGGGAGGGGGGGGGGCGGGGGGGTAATGACGTAACGCCCCCCTCCCCTGCCGTGTGGCTCCGGCACCACATCCGCGCCCGCGCGCACGACGCGACGAGCGACGGGCGACGAGCGACGACGACGACGACGACGACGACGAAGACGCGAGCAGCACGTAGGTGGCGATCTGCCCCATTGCGCCTGTGTGCACCACAACGCTCGCGTGCACCACAACGCGCGTGTACACCACAGCGCCTGCGTACACCGCAACAACGGTGTGCAACGCAGCGCCAGAGTACACCACAGTGCTTGCGTACACTACAGCGCTGGTGTACACGTGCACACCGCAGCAACTACGTGCAACACAGCGACCGTGTACACCACAATGTTTGCGTGCACCGCAACGCCTGTGCACACCACAGCGCCTGTCTACATCACAAGGTCCGCGCGCAACGCAACGCTGGTGTACATCACAGCGCCTGCGTGCATAGGACAAATGGAAGGAGCATGTACATGAGGGTCTGCTGCGGACAACTAGACGCCACGCCAGGAAAGTGCTGATAATCGAATGCAGCGTTTTTCCTTCCTCCCTCCTCCTCCACCTCCACCTCCCCCTATCGTGCGGGTTGGCGCTACAGCGCACGTGCGCATCTCAGCGTGCACCGCAGAATGGTCGATTGAATCGGCCCGCTTGGTTTTCGCACGGCCAATTCAGCTGGAGCCTCCTGGACGCAGATGGGAAGAGTTAGGGAGATGCGGGCGGACTCAGTCGGACTCGTAGATTCCACCGGCGTTCCTTTGTCCATCTGGATTTTTGTTTATTGTTTCCCGTGGAATCCACAAGCGCTCCATTTTGTTATAAGGATTTTTTGTTACGTTCTATATACAACAGTGGTGCGGTGTTGCACACGGATGCTGTGGTGCACACAGGCGCCGTGGTGCACACGGGCACTGCAATGCACGCAGGCACTGTGGTTCACACTGGTGCTGTGTTGCGTAAGCCTGATGTGGTGTACGCAGGCGCTGTAGTGTACACAAGTGCTGTTGTGCCCGCAAGCACGGTGGCACAAACTGACGCTGTGTTGCACGCGGCTGCTGTGGTGTACATAGGCGGTGTGGTGCACACAGCCGCTGTGGTGCACGCGGGCAGTGTGGTGTACACAGGCGTTGTAGTGCAAATCGCCACCTACATGCTGGTGCTACCCGTCCTCCGTCATTCCTAGGCATTCTCAGACGCCACCGGCGCGAAACGTGACGTCATCGACCCCCTCCCCCCCCCCCAGATGATTGCCGTCATCGGCCCGGAATAAAAAGCAGGCTCCAGCCGCGTCCGCGCGCACGACGACGATGAGCGACGAGCGACGAGCGACGAGCGACGAGCGACGAGCGACGAGCACGACGACGACGACGACGACGATGACGACGACGACGACTGCGGACAAGATCCTATGCGGATTCCTACGCGGATCCCAATGCGCACGGCGGCAGTGCCTGGAGCACACTGGGGGGGAGCGTTACGTCATGGGGAGGGGGAGCGGGGGCCATGACGCCCGACATGCCCCAAGCAATAAAGAAACGGGCAGTTGGGCGTCTTCATATGTTCGGGCATCTGGCAGCTCCAGATGGCCTTGGAGGCCTCCACCATGGCCCCGAGGCGGCGCCCGAAAGCCCAACACTGAGGAGAGGAGAAACCAGGAAGCGTCAAGCGGCCCCAGGAGGGCCGAGGGGAAACGAGGAGAGGCGGGGGAGGAGGAGGATGAGGGAGGGAGGGTGGAGGAGGAGGGAGGAGGAGGAGGAGGGAGGAGGGAGGGAGGGATGCGGCGGAGGAGGAGGCGGAGGAGGAACGTAGGAGGAGATGGATTAGAGTAAACTCAGGATGGGATATGCGGTAGCGGTGTGCGGGGTGGTGTGGAGGAGTGAGGCACGTTTGGTGGGGCGTAGAGGGTCTTATTATGTTTCTCCCTGCTGGTTTTAAGATGAGGTAGGAGGAGGAATAGTAGAGGAGTAGGAGCAAGTAAGGCTGATGTGAAAGGCGGAGGGGTGAGGGATGTGAGGAAGGGAGGAGGAGTAGGAGATTAGGCTGAGGATGAGGGACAGGAGGGAGGGGAGTCTGGACCGAGGAGGATACTGACGCTGATGACGAGGAGGGGGAGTAGGTTCAGGGAGGAGGAGTGCGGAGGGAGGCCGAGTGAGGAGGAGGAGGGACTAGGAGGCGGAGGGGGTAGGAGTGAGGAAGGCTGCTGAGGCCCCAACCTGGCCAAAGAGGGCCTCCAGAGGCGCCCCAGGTCGGCCGTGGAGGAGAGCCGGGCGGCCCCCCGGCGGTGCAGAGACGGCCGCGGGAGGCCCGCCAGACGGCGACCAGGAGGGCCCCAAAGACGGCCCAAAGGGGACCCGCAAGGCTGCACCGCAAAAAGCGAAGGGAAGGACGGGAGAGAAGGAGAAAGACGACAAGGACGAGACGAGTACCCCAAACACGGCGCAGAAGAGTGTGTCAGACGCGAGGAGGAGGAGGAGGAGGAGGAGGAGGAGGAGGAGGAGGAGGAGGAGCAGGAGGGAGGAGGAGGAGGAAGAAGAGGTGGAGGAGGAGGACGAGGTAGGTCACCTGACTTCGCGTATCGCGCCCCGCGGTGCGCGACGCGCGGTTATCTTTACGCCCTCGCGCCGCCGCCCTGGCGAGCGGCGCCTCTCCCAGCCAGGCCGCGACGCGCAAAGCGCATCTTCGCGCCCCTGGGGGTGGCCCAGGTTGCCGATCTCCAAACCCTCAGGACACGAGGTGTCGCACGTTACGGCCTCCCGTGCGTGCCCCTAACAATCGCCACCCAAGGTGCTGCGCTGGCACGGTGGCGGGGCTTGCCGCAAGCAGCACGATAAGAGTGAGAGATGCAGAGCGGAGGGAAAGAGGAGGGGCAACGCCCAAGACGGACTGGGGCATTCGTACGACGCCCTGATATACACCAGTCCCGAACAAAAAGAACACGGTTTCTCCTCTTCATCTTCCTGCTCATCTGCCCCCCCTCTCCTCGCTTGTGACCACAGCCCACAGCCCCCGAACACGACCTGCACATGCTGCTTACACTGTCAATCGCAACTGCAACGCATGCCGAGACGTTTACATATTCTCCTCCTCCTCCTCCTCCTCCTCCTTCTGGTCCTCCTCCTCCTCCTCCTCCTCCTCCTCTCCATTGCTTCTTCGTCGCCCCTGTAAACAAACACACATCCTCCTCTTGCTCCCCATGGGCCTCCTCATTCTCCCTGCACGTTTCTTCCCCCTTCCCTACCCGTCCACCTTCGTCTTTGCCCATCTCCTCATCCTCCTCCTCCTTCTCCTCCTCCTCCTCCTCATCATCATAAAAATTTACTTTTGTCGGCGTCGTCGCCCCCCTCCTCCTCCTCCTCAAATCATCCTCCTCCCTCCCTCCTCCTCCCCCCTCCTCCTCCTCCTCCTCCTCACCTCCTCCTCCTCCTCCCTCCTCCTCCTCCTCCTCCTCCTCCCCCCCCTCCTCCACAATTACACAATATGAAAATACTCTCCCACTTCCCCTGATGGCGTCCCGAAGATATCCGACACCCCCCCGCGTATTGTTTTTTCACACACAGGATTCCCGGGAAACGGGTTTTCGCTTGTGTTTTCTTCAAAATGCTGCTCTCGCCGAGGCGCCGGCCTCATTTTCGGGCCCCGCTCGTTCCGAATCGTGCTCCGCTGCAGCGCTGGCCTCATTTCCGTGCTTCCGCTCGTTCCGAATCGTGCTCCCGCTGCAGCGCTGGCCTCATTTCCGAGCTTCCGCCCGTTTCGACTCGTGCTCCTGCTGCAGCGCTGGCGTCATTTCCCGTGCCATGCCACAGCACACGCGCACACACGCACACACACCACCACCACCACCACCACCACCACCACCACCACCACCACCACCAGCAGCACCAGCAGCACCAGCAGCACCAGCACCAGCACCAGCACCAGCACCAGCACCAGCACCAGCACCAGCACCAGCACCAGCACCAGCACCAGCACCACCACAACCACGCACACACGCACGCACGCACGCACGCGCACCACCACCCACTAGTCCGCGGATAGAGAAAATCAGCGCCATGGTAAGAGATGGGAGGGAGGGGTAGGACGTCAGATATGACGCGCGCGCACCTAGCTTGTCCTCCTCCCCCTCCCCCTCCTCCTCCTCCTCCTCCCCCTCCTCCTCCTCCTCCTCCTTCCCCTCCCCCTCCTCCTCCTCCTCCTCCTCCTCCTCCTCCTCCTCCTCCTCCTCCTCCGCGTGGCCTCGCAGAGGAACTTCCCGCCCATGTGCGACACGGCGGTGGCGAGGAGCTCGTGCCTGTGCCTCGGTCTCGGGGCAGCCAAGGAGGACGGAGAGGCAAACGGGGACGGTGCTGCTGCGGGTGGTGGTGGTGGTGGTGGTGGTGGTGGTGGTGGTGGTGGTGGTAGGGGGGGGAGGAGGAGGAGGAGAGGATGTAGGAGGAGGAGGAGAGAGGGGAGGACAGGAGGAGGAGGAGGAGGCGGGGAAGCGAGCGAGCGAGCAGAAGCCGAGAGGCAGGCGTGTCAGGGAGGAGGGGGAGGAGAAGGAGAAGGAGGACGAGGAGCAGGAGGAGGAGGAAGAGGAGGAGGGGGTGGAGGAGGGGGAGGAGGGGGAGAGGTAAGCAAAGACTGTGGAGGCATATGATGATGCTGCTGATGATGACGATGATGGTAATGATAATGATGGTGATGATGGTGGTGGTGGTGCTGATGATGACGATAGTGGTGATGATACGAATGATGATGATGCTGCTGCTGATGATGGTGGTGGTGATGATTGTGATGGTGATGATGGTGATGATGGTGATCATGATGATGATGATGGCGATGATGATGCTGCTGTTGATGATGATGACGTTGATGATGACGATGTTGATGCTGATGATGCCGATGGTGATGATGATGCTGATGAGAGAGAGCGTGATCCACCGCCGCTTTACTGTGGAAAATTGCCAACCTTTTCCTCCGGAGCCCGGGGGTCGCCCCCCCCCCCCCCCTCCGAAAATCCCCACCCCTCCGAAAATCCCCCCCCCCCCCCCCCTGCTGGAACCCCTCCCCCCCCCCCCCCCCCCGCCCCCCCCCCCCCCCCCCCCCCGCCCCCCCCCCCCCCCCCCCACTCCCCTCCCCCCCCCCCCCCCCCCCCCACCCCCCCCCCCCCCCCCCCCCCCCCCCCCCCCCCCCCCCCCCCCCCCCCCCCACCCCCCCCCACCCCCCCCCCCCCTCCCCCCCCCCCCCACCCCCCCCCCCCCCCTCTCCCCGGCAAAACCCCCCCCCTATAACCACTCCCCCCCCCCCTCCCAATTCGAAAAACCGGGGGGGGGGTCACTACCGTTACGCACCCCTCCCCCCCCCCCCCCCCCCTCCCCCTCGGATCCGGAAAACCGGGGGGTCACTACCGGTTCGGAAAAGCCCCCCCCCCCTACTCACCGCCAGCAAACGACTCCCGGTCCCCACCACCGTCCGCATCACATCCCCCACTGGTGTTCCCAGCACCACTGTCCTCACCACCACTGTCCCCACTGGTTCCACCACCGTCCCTATTGTCCCCACCAATGCCCCCACCACTGTCGCACTGTCCCCACTGTTCCCCCACAACTGTTCCCACCACGGTTCCACTCTCCCCACTGTCTCCACGGACCCAACCACTGCCTATCCCCACTGTCCCCACTGTCCCACTGACTCCTCCGCTGTCCCACTGAGCTGTCCCACTGTTTCCACCACTGTCCCCACTGTCCCCACCACTGTCCCCACTGTACCTCTGTCCCATTGTCCCACCGCCGTCCTCGCCACCGCCTTTACCAGTGTCCCCACCACCATTGTACCCTCCACTGTCCCAGTGTTTCCACCTCATTCCCACTGTCCCCACACCACTGTCCCCACCACCACCGTTCCCACCACTGTCCACTGTCCCCCCTGTTCCCACCATTGTCCCCACCACTGTCCCCACCACTACCGTCCCCACCACTGTCCCACTGTCCCCCCACTGTCCCCACCACTGTCCCGCTGTCCCCTCACCACTGTCCCCACCAACACCGTCCCCACCACTGTCCGCACCCCCACTCGGTTTTCGAGGGGGGGGGGGGGGGGGTTCGAACCGGTAGTGACCCCCCCCCCTTTTCATGATGAGCTGGGGGGGGGGGGGGGAGGGGTTCGAACCGGTAGTGACCCCCCCCGGTTTTCCGGAGGGGGGGGGGAGGGGTTCGAACCGGTAGTGACCCCCCCCGGTTTTCCGCCAGCAGCGGTAGAACACGCTCTTTCGCTGATGATGATGATGATGCTGTTACTGTGGTTGCTGTTGCAAACTGCCCTGAGTGTCGAAACACCGACAGCACTGGCATCCTGGTTTCCGCGCCTGGCATACTGCTACTCAATCTCTGATGATAATGGTGATGATGATGGTGATGGTAATGGTAATGGTAATGATGCTGATGCTGATGCTGATGAGGATAATCATGGTGATGATGATGGTGATGATGATGATGATTATGATGATGATGACGATGTTGATGATGATGATGACTCTGATGATGATGATGATGACGACGATGATGATGATGATGTTACTGTGGTTGCTGTTGCTAACTGCCCTGAGAGTATCGAAACACTGGCAACACCTCATGCCAGATCAACATGTTTAAAGTTGGAAGTCAAGGAATCGACAGTTCAAAATAGTGCGGTTTCTGGGTTTGGCCAAGACACGTCGAATCCAAAAGCCCTCGTGCGACCTCCAATCACGTCTGCTTCTAGCCACTCTCATCCAGTCACGGCTCGCCGGGCCAGCAGATCTTGCGAACTGACCCCCCAGCTCCACGGGCTGAATCTTGAAAACTCCTGCCGGTCCAAAGCTTCGTTAGACGAGCGCGTTCCACCACTCGCAAAGTAGCTACGCGCAAATGGCCTCGATCGCCACCGGGGATCTACGAGACATTACATCGAAGCAGACATGTGTTTTTCGGGCGTTTGCGAGTAGCTACTTTGCGAGTAGTGGAACGCGCTCGGTGACTGACGAGCAACGCGCTGACAGTTCCAATGCGGCGACGTGAAGCGGCATCGTTCCGCTGACAGTTCCGCTGACACTTGATACTCCACCTGTCGGGCCACGCGGCCCCCGCATACCGGTGCGTGCGTCTGGCGGCGACCACGGCTAGATCTGGCAAGCTCAGCGCATCTCTTGGACCGTGGAACTCCTGGTTTCGGCGCCTGGCTGTTCATCAGTCTCAGATGATGATGTTGATGATGATGATGATGATGATGCTACTGATGATGATGATGATGATGATGATGATGATGATGATGATGATGATGATGATGATGATGATGATGTTGATGCTGATGATGATGATGACGATGAATTAGCTTTGTTTGGACGTGGATATGATGAGTGAGGACATGGGAGGGTGGACACGGAGGAGGAAACTGAGAAGATGGAGGCTGATGATGACTGCGGACGAAGAGGGAGAGAGGAGGCCGGGAGGAGGGACGAGGATGCTGTGGGAGAAGTGATGATGAGGAACGAGGGCAAGGGGGAGGGTGACCAGGGAGCGAGGTTCGGGGCAGACCCTGCTGGAAGACGAGCGCTGGAAGCATGGGGTGAGATCTCGTCGCCCATGCATCGACGATGATCTTTGGCATTGTGATCGCCTGCTGCTGCTGTTCCTCCTCCTCCTCCTCCTCCTCCCGCCCTATCCTACTCCTACTCATCTTCATATCCGTCTTCATCCCCCCCATCTTTTCCCATTATCATGCTCCCCCTCTTTCTTCCTCCAACTCACTTATCCTTCTTCTTCCTCCTCCTCTTCCTCTTCCTCCCACCTCCGCCCTCCGCGCTCCTCCCTCTCGCTCTCCCTCCCTTCCATCTCTCTCCTTGTGTGTTCGGCGACGCCACGGGTGGACCGCTCATCGTCCGTGCAGTTGCTTGTCGTCGTGCCCCTGGTGCGGAATAGACCACAAACTGCCCCCACCCCGAAACGCGCTCGCGGCGAGGTCGGGAATGACACAGCTTCAAGCCGGCAGCTTTTGGCTCGCCTCCTTCCCTCCGCGCTCCGCCCCCCCCCCCCTTCCCCCTTTCGCGATGGCCCCAGCACCTCCCCCGGCCCCACGACCCACCCAAGATGGCCCCGAAATCTCCCAAGGAGGAAGAGGAGGAGGAGGAGGAGGAGGAGGAGGAGGAGGAGGAGGAGGAGGAGGAGGAGGAGGAGGAGGAGGAGGAGAAGGAGGGGCCCCCCAAAAAGGCCCCCAAAGAACAGCGCGGCAGCCGTGGAATCTGCAGCCTCGCCACGCTGCAGCACTGCCGCATGGCGTCCCAGGATCGGTGGCCTATGAACTCGGCACCTGGGCTGAAGATTGTCACCCGCACGTGCGAGATTGGCGCAAACAAAACTTTAATGGCTCAATGACTAGTGAAACTACATCAGCGCATGCACGCACTCGTGCGCAAATAGAACAAACGTGCCCTGCGTTCACACGACACGCTTAACATTGAATGCTGTGTTTCATTGCGTGTTTAGCGGTCGCGGCCTCGCGCGCGGCAGCGAGGCGGAGAAAAGCAGCCAGAACGAACAAACAGCGCGCACGGCCGGCCCCTCAGCAGACGGGGCGAAGATCCGAAGGGACCCTGCCGTGCCAATCCCGTACCTGGGCATGGGCAGCGAGGGCGGAGAGCAGGCGAGAGGAGAGGTGGAAGTGGAGGCGCAGTCCAGCCAAGCAGGCGACGACGACAGGTCAAAGGAGGAGACAACGGCACGTCCCACCCGCCTTTTGGGCGCGCGTGGTTTAGAGCGTTTCCCCTTCCATCTTCCCTCGTCCCCTTCAGGCAGGGCTTGTCACTGTTCCCTGTGAGAAACACCCCCTCCCCCAGGCGACTGGCAGCAACCAACCAGGACCAATGCGGCCCCCCCAAGTGCTATCCGCTGACCCCTTGTGGGTTTCTAGGCGTGTGAGATTGTTCCCCCCCCCATAACGTCCCCCCCAGGGACCCCAAACTAGAGATTTGACCCCCCCGGCCCCGTACGAACGCGTCATGGGAGCATAGAGAGGGCCCCGAAACGGGCCAAGAGGGCCCCAAGTGGGCCCCAAGACGATCCAAGAGGGCCCCGAATCGTCGAATGATCGTTCCAAGACGCCCAAGATGGCATCCAGACGGCCCATGATGCCTCCAACACGCCCCAAGAGGCCTCCAAGAGGCCTCCCAAAAGGCACCGAAGAAGTGAACATTGCCCCAGTCCCTTAGAACAACGTATGTTTGAATCATCTTCGCCTCTTGCACGTTCATACCGCGCACGACGGCCCAAAAGACCCCTAGGACAT